CATTGCATTCTCTGTCTGTGCACTCTGCAGTAAAGCCTTCACCATTACACTATACTGTAGTCCTTTATCACTGTGGTATGTCACAATAGGAAAAGTACATGTGGTTACCTTGTTACAACAAATCAGACTGTTTGCTCACTGCATCATGTGCTTAGTATATCAATTTATGTACCATATACACAAGCATGGAGGCAGGGATATGCACAAAGTTTTGTTTGTGCTACACAAAGTGTAGGTGAACACATACATGAAGTGGATTCATACCAGCCATGCAACAAGGAAAACCGTGCACAGGCAGATAACAAATTTGACATCACGTTAACTTCACAGGATATTCTTCACTTCATAGTGTTTCATGTTTCTGAGTCAAAAGGAAGGGTTGTTTCTGTATGTCAGAAAGTCAGAAAACTCTCAGTTGTGCAGGACTTAAAGCATTTAATCACATTAGTACATGGAGACGTGGCTCCAAATGCCATTACAACCACTATCGCTGTCCCCAGAACAGTGTACTTTCTTTAAAGTGCATCAGGAAAATACAGTCAAATCAAACTGAGCTTCTTTCCAGAGAGTAAAGGAAGCCAAAATGTCTCATTCGAGCACTCTGGGAAATAAACAGTGCTATTTTTGTCGGCTTGTTTTTCGCTTCGGCGCTTCCCCACTTCAAATGTGTCGAGGCCGTGGAGAGCATTGGCCACTGAATAAACCGACTTCTATACGTGCTTGTAAATCTCAGCTTAGAGACATCTGTAAAACATGATTAAACACTCTGTAAGCTCTCAAAGCCGCTGCATGGCTTTCTTTGTGTGTTTGCACTGTTGTTCAGAGCCCAGTGAAAAATGTCCTCCAAGAAAATGCTCACAAACTGACTGCCAGGAAGCTGTGAAGGCTGCAGCCACCTCAGACTCGACAGCCCCAGGAGCCCACGCAGATGCCGCGTCCTTCCATGTGATATACATGTCACTGCCAGATCACTGCAGTTCTTTAAGGTTTTGTTTGCACAGCTTATTTGCCAGAACACCAACCTGTTTATAGGACATGATGGCCACAATGATTTATTTTACTCACGAGGACCTCTTTACTCAAACGCCCTATGCAGATCTTCTCTTTTTGTGCAGATTCTATCTCCACCCAGGTCCTGCCACAACCCTTGATCACACTTGCTCTGCTCTAATAAAGGTCACTGAGATTATTTTGGAAGAAGGATGGAAACTCTTCTCTGTTGCTCAGACATGCAGAAGTAGCAAAGTGGCTGAGCCCTGCAAAATAACAGATTACAGAATACATTTGCTACTAGCTACAGATGATGCCACAATCCAAATTCTTGGGTTCTTGAGTTCTTGAACCAAATCAGCATTCTGCCTACATTTCAGTGTCAACCACACACCTGCAAAGTTTTGTAACCGCAAGATCTGCAAGAGTGGAGGTGAAGATAGTTAATCAGTGCTGTTTGTTTATCACCAAGACTGCGCAAAAACTAATCAGCTGAATTTCGTGCAACTTGGTGGCGAAGTGCAGCATTGGTATCGGAGGAATCTGTTAAAAATTGGGGGAAGATCGAAACGATTTTAGTTAAAATTGTGAGATAGGGCATTGACTTTGGTGGACAATGCATTCTCTAATGTCCTCCCACATACCACATGCTACTTTTGTTGTATCTTCCTCTATAACTAACACCAGGTGGACCAGCTTTCCTGTTGGCCTTGTTTTTTTTTTTAGTATTTTATAACCATTGACTTTGCAATGTGATCCTGTTTTCTGGTTTTAGTGCTTGCTTGTTTTATTTGCTTTACAGTCTGCCCTCTTTAACTGTGCTCACTGTGACACTCCTTGTACCTTGTATATATGCATGTTCAACCTAGTTCAGGCCTACAGTCATGTATACTGCTTTACAGTGTAACACATACTAGGAAAGGTGCCCCAGGGAAACAGAAGAAAGGATTTCATTCGAATCTAAAAGTTTGCACAAGGTGCACTCTCTCAATATATATTGTTTGTGTCTTGTTTCTTTGCTATTGTGTTAAGCTGAACATTATGGGATATGCCAGATGTCTGGAGGTCAAGATAAGAGGTGTCATGAACAAAATTACACAATACTAAAGCTGTATTATATAAATATATAAATTTACAATTTATAAGTCATAGTACTGCATAATATTTGGAGCTAAGCGTCTACAGACGTGGATGTTAACATACTGGAACACATTTAAGATTTTGGCCTTCACAGTTTTTCAGGGCTCCCTAACTATAAAGACTGAGACAAAATAAACTGCAATTATACAATACAATAGATCATTGATATATGTATTTTTACTTTTTTATTCTATTATGCCAAACAGCTTATTTTGATTTCTTATAAGGGTAAAAGTAGCCCAGTACACCTGAGATCACACCTGAAAGAAAAACAACATAACAAGAAAGGACGCGAGGGAGAGCGAGATCAAAACAAAGCCTTAATTGAATTAACGTCTAACAGTTACATGTTGTGACAAAGGCGTTAATTAATGTTGGCTCTGTTTTTTCCGCTCAAAGCAACGTGCCACCTGTTGTTCGTGTTGTTGTCTAAAAGGATGAAGCAATCTGTTGCAATGTTTCGTCTCCTGTGTGTGCTTTCTGTGGCCCTGCTGCAGCTGTCCCATTGGAGTCAAGCCACTGGGTAATAGAGTCAGGCACGCAACAGATGGGGACTTATTTACCTTCCACTGTTTTTCTGCTGCGTTGTTTTGTGTTTGTATTTGTGTAAGTTTAACTTTTCATTATGCATTTGAACTTCAGAGTAACAGTGTTATCTGAATTTTTTTTTTTATTAAATTTTTTCAATGTCACAAGCATTACTTGACCCCCATCTGATTTTAGTTGCATTATACATTTTCTCGGTTGATCTGCTTTTGCACAATTCTTCATAAACATGTGTCCTGAAGTAGAGATAGTCGATTTTGTAGCAATTTTAGCTGCTGGTAAGTGCAATATTAGATTAAAAACCTGCACCCTATCCACTTGGCTGCCCTGTATCTAATTCCAAACTACATTTCCGTACCTTGAAACTATTATTTACTCCAACGTGTTTTGCACACCTAATCTAAGCTTGCATTGCAGAGACCATCACAAAACTCTTCTGAGGTCTGCGGTTATTCCTTTTTGTTCACACTATAACAAAGGTAGCATCATGACACTGTGACAGTTCATAACCTGAATACGAGTGAAAGTTCTGTCGCTGTTTTTCAGCAGCGTCATCACATTATGAATCAGGCTATACGTATTTTGAAAGTACAAAGAGTATTTTTTGATCTTTTCTGTCATCTGTAGAGGGATGTGCTTGTTGAATCACAATGTGCCGCTCTCTGTTTTTGAGATAAGAGTCCAACATACAAAAGGCTTCCAAGCTTTTATCGTCACCTTTTAGTGAGAAGGTTAAATAAACACTTCTTATATTACTTTAAAGCGATTTATTACTTTTCTTCCACTTCATATTAACTTTACTGGCTCTTGTTGCATTTTAGCTTTTCAGATTCACTTTAGATGTTGGTGGAAGACAGTTAAGAAGTCCAGTTATGGGTGCTGAGCGCAAACAGGTGCAATTTGGAACAAATGTACCAAGTTCAGTGTAAGATGAGGCAAAATAGATAATACAGAAACACTCGTGGTATTTTGGTTTCATGAAGTGGTGCATGCCAAATGTAGGAAGATTACTGGCCTTCAGAGGACAGGACTTCTGCGAACTCTAAGAGCAAACCACTGAAGTTCAAATCTTATCAGGATAAAATTCTTGTTAAAAACTTCTCACTGCAGCTCAGAAAGGGAACACAGCTCAAAGACTGTATTTTGCACTAAAAATATTTCACACTAGAGTTCCAGATAATAACAACATGTCCAAAGAATCAGGCCTGGAGTTGCCATTTCACACATGCAGCAGACAACAGGTGATTGTCCCTGTCAGGCACTACTGGAAACATTTGGTGTAGACGAATGGTGGGGACTGGTTTGAGTGAACATGGAGGCAGGACAAGAGGTACATTAGTGTGCATGTTTGTTCGCTGGGAAATCTCTGGACAAATATCCGCTCTATTTCCACATAAATTAGACATTACACAGATTTTGGATAAGTGTGCTGGCAGTGTAACGTGTGTTAAATATGTAGTCTGACTGATTTGAACAACAACATACAGCTCCTCCTGATGTCAAGAAAAGCTCAGGGCTGCAGTTCATGTGTGAAACTAAGTGACAAAATTGATTGACACTTGTACCACCAAATCAGATCTTTTGCACTGCACTTGCACTGCAAGACCTCTTGATTTGATGGGAGAGGATAATAACAGGGACCCTTAACTACTTTCAAGGCACATTTGTGAGTATTGCACTACATGAACCTTTCTTTCAGTCCAATCAAGTTAGAAGCAGCCCACATATCTCAAGTCTCTTAGATGACAGATATTGAAAAAATAAGTCAAGCCTCATGTATCGCGCTTTATGTTTGGACACTAAACTCTGAAATCCCCATATATATATATATACAGCTGCATGATGGACATAAAAAATCTGAAATTGTTCTTTACACTGTAGGTCCTATATTTTTTCCTTTTTTTTTTTCCTTTGCGGTAACGTTAAACACTATTCTTAATCCTACAGGTAAACTTTCTGTACATCTTTCTCATTAGAAATACTACGAGTTGCAAACTTTAGGGGAACTAAAACAATGCTATTTTATTGCTCTATTATTACTAGCTGCCAGTGTGGAATTGTTTTCAGAGTTGCAGCGGCTAATTTTACCATGATGGTGTATTTGTGATTATAACTTGGGCCGTATATATGTGCAATGTTCTCTTTTGAGCTCTTTCATTTGTTTTTGTAGTTGTGAGTTTGTGCAGGGGTGAACGTATGCATGAGGGGAACAAGGTTACAGCATATGTTGAAAGATTTATTCAACTGTACATAAAGTGGGAGTACAGATCACAGTTTAATCACAATAGAAACAATGCATCAAATAATAAAAAATACCTAAACTGCTAATAACGTACATCACTATTTGATGTTTTTCCCATTATATGTTTCTTAGTATTCTGCTCTGGCCTAAACAAAATTATAAAACATTTTGGAAGAAAAATACAGAAAAGTAGTCCGTAGCTGGAGGCCAGAATAGCAAATATCTCCACAGCAACAGTGAACTTTCCAGGAGAGCTGACATACGCTGGGATAAACGCAATCCACACCGCACAGAATATCAACATGCTGAAGGTGATGAACTTAGCTTCATTGAAGTTATCGGGTAACTTTCGCGCCAAAAAAGCGAGCACGAAGCATAACACAGCCAGAAGTCCTATGTACCCCAGCACAGCGCAGTAACCTATTGCTGTGCCAAAATCACACTCTAAAATAATTCTGGCCTTAAACAGCAGCATGTTCATGAGAGGAAAGGGAGGTGTGATTGTCAGCCACAGTATGCAAATCAAAACCTGTACAAGAGAGAAGGCCAGAACGCTGAGTCTCTGCTGCGTCGGCCCGAACCATTTCATCACGTTACTGCCTGGAAGTGTCGCTTTAAAGGCCATCAACACCACGATTGTTTTCCCCAGTACACAAGAGATGCAAAGGGCAAAAGTGATGCCGAACGCTGTGTGCCTCAGCATGCAGGACCACTCGGTGGGCCGGCCGATGAAGGTCAGAGAGCACAGGAAGCACAGAGTTAAAGAAAAGAGCAGCAGGAAGCTCAGCTCAGAGTTGTTGGCTCGTACTAGAGGGGTTTCTCTGTGGCAGTAGAATACCAGCGTTGTGATCAGAGTTAGAAAAACTCCCAGCAATGAAAATAACGCCAGCAATGTTCCCAGGATTTCATCATATGCCAGGAATTCTATCGCTTTGGGGATGCAGGCATCTCTTTGTTGGTTGGACCAGAACTCTGGTGGGCATTTCAGACAGAGGATTGAATCTGCAAAAAGAAAAACAAGGCAGAAGTGGAAGTGAATAATTCAACCTACTTTTCTGATTTTCTCTTCTGTCAGGTCATTTGTGTACTGGTATGCTGTCTGTCTACCTGTTACATTACTGATCTCGCCTGCAGGGCAAGGTATGCAATCATAGCAGCAGACTGGCTTTCCTTTCTGGAGGACCTTGTGAGTTCCTGGGAGACACTTCTCACTGCAGACTGACACAGGCACCTTCGACACACATAAGGATAACTGTATGCAATTTCTATGTACACTTAAGTACACATTTTTTAAAAATATATATCATATTCAGAACTGTTTTCAGTAAATAGAAGTCCAAACCTTAGCCAGCCCATTACCCCAGACAACAGGGATGCTGTTCATGATAAACTGGTGACTGTCTGGAAGCGAGGCGTCATAAATGCCGACTGTTTTTCCTTCCATGGTTCCTCTGTTTGTAATTTGTAAATTAACAAGTTCATATCTTGCCGGTGAGTCTCCATTTTTGTCAAAATAAACTCTCTCCCCTTCCCCAGTTGTGAAATTCACAGTGTTAAGATACTGCAAGACCTAGACAGAAATTACACAGAGATTAAATGCACAGATTCCTTTTCATTCTGTCGCCATCATCTGGGTGGTTTCTCACCTGCCACGGTTGGATGTGTTTGATATCAGCGCAGCTCCCGTTAGAAAAGGGCCCTCTACCTTCATCACATTTGCTCAGGTTGTCGAGGGCGTGAGCCACCGCGTAAACTGACTTGTAGACGTTGTGAGTGAACCTGAGCTCGGACACATCAGTGAACTTTGATTCGACGTTTTGCAGGCTCTCAAGGCCGCTACACGGCTGTTTCTGCGCGTTTGTAGTTTGATTCAGAGAGCAGTCGAACACATCTTCCCAGAATTCTCTGACAAACAGACTCTCTGGAAACTGTGAGGGGTGGAGCTGCCTCAGATACTCCCCCAGGCCGGGGATCTCGGCTCTGGCGACGGTGAAGCCCAGCGAGCCCACCAGGATGCCGTGTCCCTCGCTGTCAGTCAGCGAGTGATCTGTGATCCAGGCGTCACTGCCGATCCACTGCAGCCCTGTAACGTTCTGTTTGTGCAGCGCAGCAGCCAGCAGCTTAATTTCTCTGTGAGACATAAAAGCGACTATCACCTTGGAAGTGGAGTGCTTAATGATCTGTGTTATTCTCTGCAGAGCTTCAGGTGGATCTGAGGATGAAAACGCCTCAGAATACTCAACGCACACTCCATATTCTTGTGCCGCTTGGATAAATGCTGCTATGCCGTTGAAGCCATACTCATTACTCACAGCTAAAGCCCCAACCCAGGTCCAACCAAAGTGCCTGACCAGCTTAGCCAGGGCTCGGCTTTGGTAGTAGTCACTGGGGATAGTTCTGAAAAAAGTGGGGTACTCTTTTCTGTTGCTCAGACAGGCACAGGTGGCAAAATGGCTGATCTGCAACGAGATATACAAAAAGAATCAACATTTAAACTAAGTTGCAGAACAGAGCACTAAAATGAAGACATAGAAAAACACACTTTACACGACTGACCTTAATCTTTGACTTACCACAGGTATTTGAAACCTTCCAACAACTCGGGCAAACGCAATAGTCGGCCTTGATCCCGAATGTCCCAGGATAGCTTGCACTGTGTCTGGTTTGGTGCAGTTCTCATCGCTGACTTCTCCCTTCAGTCCGCTCACCAGCGCCAGTGCAGCTCTCAGGATGTCCATGGTTCCACAGTTACCATAAATTTTGTAGCCAAGTTTAACATTAGGCAGCATTTCCGGGTTGTTGTTGATTTCATTTATAGCAAAGATCATTGCTTGAGCAAATTTGAATTCTCTAAAGTTAAAGCTGGGATAGAACAAAATGATATGTTTCTGTTAATGGCACAAATACAGAGCGAAATACACACAGACACACACAAAATCGAATATCATGATACATTTACAGCGAGTAAATAATAAATATTAGCCTAATAATACACACTTTTTGCATTTTCGTAATTCTGGAACTGCCTGAAATGTGTTGATTACATAATCCTGCCCTGTGCGAAATGAAAAAATGCCTCCGATAACCAGATCACCATCCTGCCAGAGCTCAGGCGGTTGTGAAAAGCCCTGCAGCCGACACACAGAATCTCCCTCCCCCATTAGTAGAACCAAGAACAGCAGCCTCAGTAAAAGCATCACTCTGCTCTGCTCTGAAGGTCAGGCCAATCAGCTCCACATCTCCTGGCAGAGGGCTTTATAGGTGTTCAACAACAGGCGGAGAAGTTGTCATGGCTGAATTCGGCCTCAGGAGATTAAACCAAACAAGTTGAGTCAAAGATGTTTTTGTCTGTGAAATGTGTTATTATTATTTATTATTATTATTATTATTTGGTTACAATTTTTATCATCTGTATTATACAATGTAAAATGTACAAGTAATTAGAATATAGGCTTGTGCATTTACATTACTTAGTTACACTTGTCTTTCATATTCTATTAGATGCTTTTTCTACATCAGGCTATACAGGGAAAATATATTCTAATAGTACAAGTTATATCATGTGACATGTCACAGATGAGTAGTTCATGGACCACGAGAAAATTGAAAAATCAAAAATTCTTTCTGTTGCTGCAGTTTTTGGCCCGTTTAGGTGATACAGTTTTGACTCTCTTTCAAAAGACAACGTGCATTCACACATACTTGGGGGTTTGGGGTTTCACAGGGGTTTAACCAATAATTAGCAAATAATTATCATGGCATTTAAATGAATGTATCACTGCATTGTTTTCAGATTGATTTGAGTGACCCCTTACCCATCATATTCTTTTTTGTATTCTTCTCTGGTTTCAATAAGATAATATAACATTTAGGGATAAAGATGCAAATCAGCAGTCCAAAACTGGAGGCCAGAATAGCAAATATCTCCACAGCAACACTGAACTTCCCAGGAGAGCTGACATACGCTGGGATGAAGGTGATCCAGACTGCACAGAATATCAGCATGCTGAAGGTGATGAATTTGGCTTCATTGAAATTATCAGGCAGCTTTCGAGCCAGAAAAGCAAAAATGAAACACAATATAGCCAGAAGTCCAATGTACCCAAGCACAGCCCAAAAGCCTACCGCTGAGCCCAGAGCGCACTCTAAGATGATTTTATCTTTAAATTCCTTCAAATTCATTGATGGAAAAGGAGGAGAAACTATTAACCAGACGATACATATGACAATTTGTATGAGAGTGAAGCCCAGAACACTGAGTCTCTGCTGTGCAGGCCCGAACCATTTCATCACATTACTGCCTGGAAGAGTTGCCCTGAAGGCCATTAACACCACCATCGTTTTCCCCAGAACACAAGAGATGCAGAGGACGAACGTGATGCCGAACGCTGTGTGTCGCAGCATGCAGGACCACTCAGAGGGCTGGCCGATGAAGGTCAGAGAGCACAGGAAGCACAGAGTCAAGGAGAAGAGCAGCAGGAAGCTCAGCTCAGAGTTGTTGGCCCTGACGATTGGAGTTTTTCTGTTTTTGAAGAAAATNGATGATTTTATCTTTAAATTCCTTCAAATTCATTGATGGAAAAGGAGGAGAAACTATTAACCAGACGATACATATGACAATTTGTATGAGAGTGAAGCCCAGAACACTGAGTCTCTGCTGTGCAGGCCCGAACCATTTCATCACATTACTGCCTGGAAGAGTTGCCCTGAAGGCCATTAACACCACCATCGTTTTCCCCAGAACACAAGAGATGCAGAGGACGAACGTGATGCCGAACGCTGTGTGTCGCAGCATGCAGGACCACTCAGAGGGCTGGCCGATGAAGGTCAGAGAGCACAGGAAGCACAGAGTCAAGGAGAAGAGCAGCAGGAAGCTCAGCTCAGAGTTGTTGGCCCTGACGATTGGAGTTTTTCTGTTTTTGAAGAAAATAAATGCCACAACCGCAGTCATGCATGTTCCAAATAAAGATGCTGCCGTAAGCAGAGCTCCCATAATTTCTTCAGATGACAGAAACACTGCCTCCTTCTTTATACAGGTGTCTCTTCTCTCATTTGACCAGAATTCAGGGAGGCATCTCACACAGGTGACAGAATCTGGAAGTTAATGTTGAAGCAGATGTTAGACTTGTTGAGTAGATTAGCTCATACTTCTGTGGTGGTGTCTATTTTGTCCATGTAATCCTGAAGCTACACAATTACCAGACAACAGATTTTTTTAGCCTGTGGCTCTAAGTCTAGACAATCTAAAAAAAAAAACTGTTTCTTCTTCTTTAATTTCATTTTCATTTTCACAATGAGAGTCCAAATCTTCTAGTTTCTCAAGTTGGACATTTAACCTAGAAAACTACTTGTTCAGCAACAGATATGACAGATTCTCCTGTTATTCGTAACATCTTTGGGTAATGCTAATAGAACACATTTTGACCATTCAGAGTTTCCCAGATAGCTTTTTATAATGCTCCGCTTCCACTTGCAAATAATCTGATTCATAAATGGAACAGATCTAACTCCTCATCACCAGTAGCTTCAGGTACTACTTCATGTGCAGAGGTCAAAACGCTTCAAGCAATACCCTGTCTTAAATTAAACATGTCATCCAACTGCAGCCACATTATGTTACTGTGGCGATGAGTCAAAAAGAAGCACGTTGTTATGATTGGGTGTGAGGTCATTTACATTATTAGATATCCTAATTACAATAGCTGTTCAATATACCCAGTAGGTTAAAAATAATAGTGCTTCTTTGAGGACTTTTTACCACATATGAATTGTTAAGGACACATTGGAGGAATCCTGGACAGCTGAGTCTTTAATTAGGGGGGGGGGGGAATGAATTGCTCTGGGTTTCGTGTGTTTCTGAGTTGCTAATGACCCAAGGTGTGTATTTAACGAATATTGCTTCAAGCAATTTCGAGACAGAAACAAAACAAACTACATCTATCTCCACATGTGATTTAACCTTGATTTGCAATTCTTTTGGTGTGCTGATGTAATTTGGGTATTTCTGAGACTTTGTTTGACATATTTGTAGAAACAAAAAAACCACAACATAATCATCCGATAATTCTCGAAGGGGATTCCTTCACGCTCCGAAAGTTTTTCACAAGTGGCATTTGGTTACGAAAACAGCTCAGCTCAAAGCCTTTCAAAAAATACGAGCAAACCTGTGATGTTGCTGATTTCTCCCTCTGCACATCTGATGCAGTCATAACAGCACACAGGTTTTCCTTTCTGGAGAACCTTTCGGGTTCCTGGGGGACATTTCTCACTGCAAACTGACACAGGCACCTGCATGACCAGAAACACTGTGAGAAAGATGAATGTTGTTTTCAGAAACCTCTGTTTTTAGCTGGAATACATCAGATCCAAATATTATGCAATTGTGAATCAGTTATAGTATACAGTAAATAACAATTGCTCTGTAGGTTACCTGCTGAGAGTTCTGTGCCCAAATTAAAGAAGTATTTTGCAGATTCAGCTGTTTGTCTGCAGATAATGATGCATCATAAAGACCAACTGTGACAAAGTCTACAGGTCCGTCTCCTCTTGGCTGCCAGTTTATAATTTCATACTTTGCTGCCGGATCTCCATTTTCATTAAAGTAGACTTCATCTCCTTCCTTTGTTTTGAAGTGAATCTTTTGAATGCGTTGTAAAATCTAAGAAGACACTGATTCAATTAATCATTATACACAGACTACAAGACATTTTTCAAAATGTAAATGTTACCCAGTGTAAAAGTTATAATTTAAACTGGTGTTAAGCTTACCGTGATTGGATCTAGTTGTACATTCTTGTTGCAGGTTTCATTACATCTCAGAATGCTGTGAAGTGCATGGGCCACCGCATACACTCCTTTATAGACGTTGTTAAATATCGGCATGAGTGACATATCAGTGAAGCTGTTTTTAACTCCCGTCAGATCTTCCTGTCCAGTGCAGTCTCTCTGAATCTCTGCTGATGATTTTGAATGCTTGAATTTACAGCTAAATAATGTTTCCCAGAACTCTGTGAACATTTCATTGTTAGATGAATTCAGCGGCTTCACATTCATCATGAAAGCCTTCAGGCCGCTGACGTGCGCTTTGGGAATTGAAAGGCCGATGGCACCATCCAGGATGTGATGCTTATCTGTTGCTGCTGTTTGCGAATCAAAGATCCAGCACTCACTGCCGACCCACTGGTATCCTGTCAGGTTGTGGTGGGACAGCTCATGTATTAGCACATCCATGTCCATGTGGGAGAGGAATGCAACAATTACTTTGGAGGTTGATGCCTTGATAATTTCAATTATCTTTTGTATCTTGTCTGATGGATCTGTTCTAAAAAAAGACACGGAGTACTCCAGACAGATGCCCAGCTGTTGTGCAACTTCTGTGAATGTCGCCATGCCATTATTGCCATAATCATCATTAGTTCTAATCGCTCCAACCCAAGTCCAACCAAAGTGCTTGACCAGCTGGGCCAGGGCTCTGCTCTGGTAGTAGTCGCTGGGAACCGTTCTGAGGAAGGATGGGTACTTGGTTTTGTCACTGAGACACGCACATGTGGCAAAGTGGCTGATCTAAAGGAGAAAAAAAGAAGATAAAATGGAAAAAAAATGATATAAGATGTAAAATATATAATTATTATTATATAATTATTTTTTTACATAGCTACATTTTACTAATCCTGCTCACCATTGGAATATGCAAGGGTCCGATGACAGTAGCTGTCGCTGTGCAAGGAGAGGACGAGGATTCTCCCATTATGACCTGCACTTGTGCAGGTTTGGTACACGGTTCCTCAGAGGGTGCAGACACAATTTCATTACCATTAGCCAAAGCTAGAGCAACTCTTACACTTCTGGCAATGGAGCCACAAGTATCATAGATTTTATAGCCGAGAGAGACGCCCGGCAGGAGGTCTGTGCTGTTGTTTATCTCCTCAATGGCAAAAAGCATGGCCTGAGCAAACTGGAACTCTCTGAAATTTAAACTGGATTCAAACATTTATAAACAGTTGGCATTACACTTAGCCTCCTCTTCACATAGAGTCAATATTAAATGAAACATTCAGTGATATTAATGCACAAAACAGGAAACACATTGTAAATCTAGATGGACTTCTATGGTGAATTTTACCTGGTGCATTCCAGTGGCAGAGGTTTGTGCATGTAGGTATCCTGTCTGTCTTTCCACCTGCTGTGGAAAGAGAACATTCCCCCCAATACAATGTCTCCGTCCTTGTATAGTTGAGGGTTCTCAGGATCTCCTCTCCGCCTGCACACTGGCTCCTCAGCCTGAGACAAGAACACCACCAACAACAGCTGTAGAAGTGCCCAGCCCTGCTCTGGCCACCGCTGTGTGGACGTCATGCTGTCAGATAGAGTGAAACCACTGGGTGGCATTACTTTAACCTCACTGTAGATGAAAGACTTGCACTGGTATTTATACTTTTTGTAGCAGCATAAAAAACATTAATGGAACAAGGTGGGGTGAGAGGAGGGATGTAGTGACAGGCTTTTATTAAACATGTTTTGTGTGTGATGTGCTATCAGGCAAGAATACACATTTATTATCATGTTTTATTGACTGAGATGTCATTTGTGCTCAAATTTATAGTTCCAGGGACATTTGATAAACTCTGAATAATGGAAGCATAAAATCATCTGTTCTTTCAGTTCTATTCTGCTCCTGAGTTGAACGTCTGAATCATAGCGGCTAAATGCTCCATCGCGTTCACCATCATACTTCATCTTTGATATTGGTGCCAGACAGGAACAGCTTACAGGAAGTGCTCCAATTAGATGACACAATGTTGCAGCTGAGAATAATGAAAAATAAAAACTTCACATATCAATTTATGTGCAAACACAACATCAGTCAGGACGGGGGTGCATTGCAACCTAGGAGTTAAACCTAGGAGTTAAATGCCTTTTTCTTTTTTCACATTAACTGCTCTACATATGGGTATTTAGATTTAAAAAAGAGTTGCATTTAGATTATTTTATGTTAAAAAATGGTGCCTATGCTTTTGTTAGAAAAATAAAAAATAACCCAAAAATAAGCGCTGAGGAAAACTTCAGATTCGACCTGTATCACATGACCAGTCAGGTCATAGTCAGTATAAAATACAGGTAAGAACAGCTTTAATCCCTGAACAGTCACTGGCCTGTATGCAAACTCTGCCATAGAATTTTGAACGGCATCAGCCCCAGTAATACAGGGTTTGAAATAACAAAGCCATCATTGTATTCATTGGTGCAGTGTTGGTCTCTGACATGCTGTACATACTTGACTTTTTAATGTGAATTTTTATGCAAATATCAAACAACTAAAATTACCGATACAACTATTCCAGTTCATAGTCCTCAGGATTTAAGTGTAGAACAAATCTAATAGCATGTTCATGTGTGATAGTTGTGTAGAAGGTGACTGTGGGCACTTTCCAATTTTTAAAATATATATTTTTAAATGATGCAAAAATGAATACAACAATATTGGAATACATGAGTTTTATTAAAATTGTATATTACATATTGTGTACATGTTAATAGATTTGTTTAAGTTAATCATAAAATAAAGAAAGAAGGAAAAAAAACATGTGGCATAAGAAAACTGAGGTGGTTTAATTTGTGCTTAAAATTTATGACAGAAGGTGCAAGACATATGTATTGTTAATGTAGCTTATTCATAAATAATTTACTGTACTTACAGTTTGACTGTTAAAATTCTCTATATTTAAGGTATCTAAACTAAATTAGTGACATAGAGAAATGTCAATACACATTCTATTGTTGCAGTTTGAACAAATATCTCAAAGGGTTCTCAGGGTTCCTTTACCCATCAGATGTTTCTTGGTGTTGTTCTCGGGTTTTAATAAAATTATGTAGCACTTGGGCAGAAAAATACAAAATAGCATCCCATAACTTGAAGCCAGAATAGCAAATATTTCCACAGCCACAGTGAACTTCCCAGGAGAGCTGACATACGCTGGGATGAATGTGATCCACACTGCACAGAATATCAGCATGCTGAAGGTGATGAACTTAGCTTCGTTAAAGTTATCAGGCAGTTTTCGAGCCAGAAAGGCAAGAACGAAACATAACATGGCCAAGAGCCCGATGTATCCCAGCACAGCCCAGAATCCAACAGGTGATCCCAGAGCACACTCTAGTATAATCTTCTCCTTGTAATGATTCATATTTTTGTAGGGAAAAGGAGGTGTGATTGTCAGCCACAAAATGCAAATTACAACCTGGATGAGAGTGAAGCCCAGAACACTGACTCTCTGCTGTGCAGGCCCGAACCATTTCATCACATTTCTACCTGGAAGTGTCGCCTTAAAGGCCATCAGCACCACTATTGTCTTCCCCAGAATGCAGGAGATACAGAGGACGAATGTGATGCCGAACGCTGTGTGCCTCAGCATGCAGGACCACTCAGAGGGTCGGCCGATGAAGGTCAGAGAGCACAGGAAGCACAGAGTCAAGGAGAAGAGCAGCAGGAAGCTCAGCTCAGAGTTGTTGGCTCTGACAATGGGAGTCTGTCTGTAGTGGAAAAATATCAGTGCTATAGTCATTGCCAGGCAGGCACCAAAGACCGAAAAGGTGACCAGCAATATACCCATTAATTCCCTGAAGGTGAGGAACTCAATAGCTTTCATGTCACAGTTATTCCTCTCTTCGTTGGACTTGTACTCAGGAGGGCATTTGTCACATTTCACCGCATCTGAAAGCATAAATACATTTAGGCTGTAGAGGACACACATCTTCAGATAAACCAGTAAAGTGCCGGCGGTGATTTTGCCCATCAGAAACAGAATGAGCGCTAGCGTAAAGGCTACGAATCCTGCTGTCTCACTTGTACTGCTGCTGAACTCCCCGGCAGCACAGGTGATGCAATCAAAACAGCAGATAGGCTTGCCCTTGACAAAAGCCCGACGGGTTCCCGGTAAACAGCTCTCACTGCAGACAGACCTCGGCACCTGCATCGGAGTGACAATATTAAAAATGCACATTCATCATTTCTTCAAAATCATGTTAATATGATGAAGAACTCATGGCAATATTAACTTAGTGACAAACAGTTCAAATTAAATTTTAAATGAGGACAGTGTGTCTGCATTAACTCACTTCAAGGTTTTCTCCTGCCCAGATGGCGCTCACATCTGCTTTCATCTCAAACTGCTGACCCTCAGGCCGGGAAGCATCATAATAACCGATAGTTTCAAACAGTATGTAACCTGTCTCATCCATCTGCCAGTTTACCAGAGCATAACGTGCCACAGGGTCACCCAGATCATCAAAGAACACATTTTCACCAATCTTGGTAGTGAAATTGACCTGAGTCAAGTAATGCAGCACCTGCAGGGAAACAGTGATGTTGTTGTAAGACTAAATGATCATGAACATAGCTTGGATTCAGGCTCAGCATTTAGTTCTTACATTTACCTGCCACGGTTTGACATTTTCTACACCGGCACAAGTATTGTTCTCAAAAGGCCCGTGTCCGTCTTTGCAGCTAAACAGCATGTGCAGAGCGTGAGCGACGGCATACGTGGCCTTGTAAACATTATTCAGCAGGCTGGCATCTGAAACATCTGTGAAGCGTGTTTTTATGTCCCTCAGAGACTCCCTCCCATTGCAGGCTGCAACAGGATCCTGAGCATGAATCTCTGGTCGGGGAGTCAGGGTGCAGCTGAACACCGTCTCCCACAACTCCACTAGTCCCTGATTCCCCGGCGTGGTGGAGGGCCGGCTGTTGGCGAGAAACTCCTGCAGTCCGGGGATGTGAGCGTTCAGCGCCGCAAAGCCCACCGCCCCCTGGACCACAGCGTAGTTTACCGGAGAGGCGATGTAGCGATATGTGATCCAGCCTTCACTTCCAACCCACTGCAGGCCTGTCACATTCTGAGCGTGGAGCTCTTTAATAAGTATGTCAAGGTCTGTGCCGTCAGCAAACGCCACTATTACCTTAGAGGTGGACTTCTTTATAATATCCACCACCTCTAAGAACCACTTTCTGGGATCGGTTCGGTAAATGGCCAGTGAGTACTCAACACAAACACCTTCCCTCTCTGCTGCTTCTAGGAAAGTCGCCATGCCTCCATTCCCGTAGTCGCTATTAGTTCTGATGGCTCCCACCCAGGTCCAGCCGAAGTGTTTCACAAGCTTAGCTAAGGCTTTGCTCTGGTAAATGTCACTCGGTATGGTCCTGAAGAAAGAGGGATAGTCTCTTCTGTTGCTAAGACATGCACAAGTGGCCGAATGACTGATCTGAAAGAAAACAGAAACAGCACACAGTTGAAGCATTTCTCATTCAACACACAGTTTCCTCTGACAGTTTATGTGTGCCTGCCCACAGCACTCACCACAGGTATATGGAAGGGTCCCATGGTGCGCGCAATACCTATCGTAGAAGTGGATGTGGTTTCCCCTATGACAGCATGCACATTGGAGAGCTTGGTACAGTTGCCTGCCTGGCTCTCGTACCTGTTCATCAGGTTCAGTGATGCCCTGATGGACAGAGGGATGCTGGGGCAGGAGTCAAAGATCCTGTAACCCAGCGTCACTCCTGGCAGCAGCTCTGAGCTGTTGTTGATCTCCTCTATGGCAAACATCATTGTGTACGCGTACTGAAGCTCTCCTGGGTCCAGTCTGAACAAAGGAGAGGGACCAACGTGTACACGCATGCATTTACACATAAAATGTGAATAAACAATACATTTACAGCTACAGTTTTTTCATCCCTTTCTTACCCTTCACACCGGATTGTTCCTGGGTTGACTTCGAGAGCCGGATTGACAGTGACTGGGTTCTGATGGAAGGAGAAAATGCCTCCAATGTTGATATCTCCCTCCTTAGAAAACTGAGACAGTTCTTTTGTCCCATATGTTTGACACACAGGCTTCCCCCCTCTAACAGCCAGAAGGGAGAGAAGTAGCAGGTCGGCTATCAGCAGCATAGTCGCTCACCTGAGTATTTACCACCCAAGGCCTAAAGATAAACTCCCTCAACTGTAAGCATTTTATAGGAGTTTTCTATCTCAAAACCAAGGGGGCTTGGGTGCAACATTGTCTCTGTGCTGTCCAATGACATTGCTTGTGGCGTGAGTGGCAGGTGGATGGGCCTGTAAGAGCGTCTACTATGTTTGTACCATTGTTGTTGTTTTTTTTACCATAGCCAATTCCTTACAATAATGATTTCAGGAACCTGACCAGGTCTGTGGGGATTTCTGACTTGTTGTTGTACATTTGACTTCAGTTAAGCATTTTTAATCTAAGGGCTAAATGATTAAAGAAAAAATAAAGTTTTAGCTACAGGACCATTTTTTTTTTTTTTTTTTTTAAAGAGAGAGAGAGAGATGTGGATCTCGATGTTTTAATGCATCCATCTCTGTTCAAATGTACTAAATCATAGCACGCTATTGTTCTGCTTTTGTTTGTGTAGCTACTTAATTCAGTACAGCCAATTACATCAAACTTAAAATTCAGAGCACTAAAATTGGTAATTGCATTCAGTAATCTTTGCAAAACTGCTCGGGGAAGATATGCACATGCACCAATTAGTAGGAGCTCTGTTACCATTTTGTAACTACATGTGAAAAACAAGTGTTTAAATTTGGTTCGTTTCTAAAGGAGGTAGAACATTTTTTTTCTATATATATATATTTATTGGACCTGAGATGCTTACAAAAAAGCATTCTGTGAGTTTAAAGTATAAGCATGTAAATGTGGGTTGTTTTCTTTTCTTGGCTTTTGTTCCTTAGATAATAGTTATCAATACGAATTTGTTGTTCAAAATGAACAATGTGCTGCTTTCACTCACTGCTCTGTGCAGTTTTTTTATAGGTTAAGAATATATAAAACCTTTCTGAAACAATGTAAAACTTACACTGTACATCTATTTAATGTTGTTCTATGGTTACTGGTTATTGAATAATGTGCATAAAGGATATGGTAACAGTAAATTGTCTGCTTAATGGGGCCGTCTGTGTCTGGGATTTTTCTTTAACATTAGCTAGTTCAGAAAAGGTCATTGATACAAGGGTTTTTAGTGTTTTTATGGAACAGACAGCTGAAAACACAAAGCCCAAAGGTATTATGTTTTCAGGCTTTCTGTCCTCTTCTTGTGAGTGTGATTTCTCTTGAATGCCTGATGGAATTACTGTGAATTTGGCCTTAAGGATTATAAGTATTAGATTTTATTAGTCAAAGATCAAAGGTCCCTGATCCCACAAAACATGCTTTTGGCCAAAACTCAAGAACTCAACTGTTAATTATGAAAAAACTTCACACAAATGTCTAATAGGATGAAATTATTAGGCAATGATGTTTCATATCCAAAAGGTCCCAGGTCTGGTTGGCCGGGGCACAGAGTACAATCAAGGCAATATTAGCAGGGCACTTTAAGATGCGTCTACATTCACCTCAGTTTTAAGCTGTGGTTGTTGCTGCTTGCTGAATATAGCTGGAAAATGTTTATAGAATGGACTATGAGGACCTAGCATGGGTCATAGTAAGTGACCTTGTAATCATAGATAAAAAAAAATATGTGTTTTTTGTTAAACTGATGTATGTCAGATTCCATGCACTTGGGGGATCTGGCTACATCCCAAGATGTGATAGCACTTATACAACAGACACATGATGCTTTTGAAAAACCTGTTTAATAAAGCAAATTGCTGCTGAGAAGGAACAATCTGCTGATTTCACTCACTGCTATTTACAACTTTTTCAGTATAATTTCAAAAATCCTTTCTCTTCTCGAGGCATTTAAGGTTATTTTCAATCTATATTCCAATAGTATACTAGCATAGTATTAATTCATACAACAGTATTGCAATTTAGACATTTTAGTGTCACTACTCTATACACCCATTTATAATGTTTTTGGCTGGTTTCGTCCCATCATGTGTTTTTTGGTATTTCTCTCTGGTTTCAGTAGTAAAATGTAACCTTTTGGGACAAATATACAGAAAAACAAACCAAAACTGGAGGCCAGAATAGCAAATATCTCTACAGCTACAGTGAACTTCCCAGGAGAGCTAACATATGCTGGGATGAAAGTGACCCAGACTGCAGCGAATATCAGCATGCTGAAGGTGATGAACTTGGCTTCATTAAAATTATCAGGCAGCTTTCGAGCCAGAAAAGCGAGGACGAAGCATAGCACAGCCAGGAGTCCTATGTAGCCCAACACGGCCCAGAACCCTACAGGTGAGCCTAAATCACACTCCAGAACAATTCTTTCGGTGGCATAGGCGGTGTTTTTGTAGGGAAACGGCGGGGCAAGGGTTAACCACAGCACACAGATCAACACCTGCAGTAAAGTACAGCCAAGAACACTTGTTCTCTGAAATGGAGCGGAACACTGAGGGACTATGTTCGACGGCCTTTTAGCCTTAAAGGCCATCACCACTGCTATGGTTTTAGCCAAGACGCATGACATGCACAAGGCGAAGGTTACGCCGAAAGCCGTGTGGCGCAGCATGCAGGACCAAACAGAGGGCCGACCGATGAAGGTCAGAGAACAGAGGAAACACAGAGTTAAAGAGAAGAGCATCAGGAAACTCATCTCGGTGTTATTGGCTCTGACAAGAGGCGTGTGACGAAACCGATAGAAGAGACACGACATCGCTACTGTTAAACTGGCTCCGAACAAGGAGAAAGCAGTGAGGAGGACCCCCATGGTTTCTCCGTAAGATAAGAACTCGATCACCTTTGGAACACACCGGCTGTGATCTTCATTTGACCAGTACTCCAGTGGACACCACGAGCACTCTGCAGAATCTGAGCAGGAAACATGAAACACTGACATGTGTTCACGCTGTAGGCTACGAGTTTTCATGGATCTCATACTAAAGCAAGCTTTGACTATATTTACTGAGTTCTTTGTGGACGATCACATAATAAATAGCAGTAAATAACAAGAAAGTTTCTACTTACTGCTGGAGTTGCTGATCTCTCCAGCACCACAGACGACGCAGGAGAAACAACAGATGGGTTTACCTTTAATTACAGCCTGCCGGAAACCTGGCAGACAGCTTTCACTGCACACAGACAGCGGCCTCTGTAACAACAACACAATTTTGCAGTCACAGTTTGGTCCCTTTGTAATCCAGATACTTCATTTAAACAGTTTAATTCAATTTGCTTTAGTAACATTAAAATAAATTGTAAGTTTAAGCTTTTATCAACCATAAGTTTCAGCTTTAGACCTTCAGAAGCTACCAGAAGTGAATAATTGGCGTGTCGATGAAAAGATTTGTTGACACGTTTCAATTAAAGATTCTAATTTACAAATGACAGAATCATCATTTTGTGTAAGTGTTAGAAGGAATAATATCCATCTGACTTCATAACTTATTCCAATTCTCCTATTTTTAATTGTTTAGAAAATGTATGTCAAAGCAATGTGATTGTACAGCTAACATCCATCCATCCATTATCTATACACCACTTAATCCTCACTAGGGTCACGGGGGGGCTGAAGCCTATCCCAGGCGACACCCTGGACAGGTCACCAGTCTATCACAGGGCCACACTTAGAGACAGACAACCAAGCACACTCACATTCACACCTACAGACAATTTAGAATCACCAATTAACCTTAACATGTTTTTGGACTGTGTGGGAGGAAGCCGGAGAACCCGGAGAGAACCCACGCTGCACGGGGAGAACATGCAAACTCCACGCAGAAAGATCCCGGGTGTCCTCACCAGGATGCGAACCGGCGACCTTCTAGCTGTGAGGCAACAGTGCTAACCACTGTTCCACGATGCAGCCCGTACAGCTAACAGAGTTTTTTTAATCAATTTGCAAGCATGTGCATACAGTCAGCTTTAATTTATACCATATAACATCTGTTTTTGTTTTTTTTTTATTTCTGCATCCACAACAACTTATCAACAACAACAAAAAAATGTTCCTCACGTTTTTTATTACCTGAAGGGATTCAGCAGCCCATGTGATGTCTATTCCATTCATAGTGAACTGCTTTCCATCTGGTAGTGAAGCATCGTAGCTCCCGACTGCCACAAACGCAGCATCTCCTCCTCTGTTTCTCTGCCAGTTCACCAGCTCATAAGTCGCTGCAGGGTCTCCATTTCCATCAAAATACACTCTTTCTCCTGACTCAAGTGTAAAATTGACATCTTGAAGGTGTTTCACAACCTACCGAAGAAGAACAGCTGTGAATAACTCGGCACACGGAGAACTTTGCATTATTTAAACTATCTACACAAGGGGATTTCTTACCTCTTTCAGCTCAAAATGATCTTTCCAGATGCACGACTGAATCGCAGCCTCACCACTTTGTCCACACTTTAACATGCTATGGATGGCATGAGCTGCAGCGTACACAGCCTTATACACATTGTTTGAGATTCTCAGCTCTGACACTTTAGTGAAAGGATTATGGATGTCCTGTAGTCTCTCGGAGCCGGAGCACTGACTCCGACCATCCACATCGGGTTGAAAACTGCAGCCAAAGGTTGCTTCCCAGAACTCTCTCAGCAGGTTATTCTGAGGGTCTTGACTTGGGTTAACCTGTAAAAGAAATTCCTGCAGGCCTGTGATCTTTGTCTTTCTAATAGTGAAGCCCAGAGAACCCATCAGCATGTGAGAGTACCTCTTATTCGCCAAATGGCCTGCTGTAATCCAGGATTCACTGCCCACCCACTGTAACCCAGTCACATTCTGCTTCAGAGCTTCTTCGAGTAGAATATTCATCTCGCCTTGAGCGAGGAAGGCAACTAAAACTCTCGCACTGCCTCTGCGGATCACTCTGACAACCCTCGCAACCTGCTCACCGGAGTCAGTTCTTGAAATGGCCTCTGAATACTCAACACAAACCCCCTCCTGCCGTGCAGCTGCGATAAATGTTGCCATTCCATTATTACCGTAGTCGTTGTCACTTCTGACCGCACCAACCCAGGTCCACCCGAAGTGTCTGACCAGCTTTGCCAGGGCTCTGCTCTGGTAGTAGTCACTAGGGATGGTTCTGAAGAAGGAGGGGTACTGCTTTCTGTTACTCAGACAGGCACATGTGGCAAAGTGGCTGATCTAATAGAAAAAAGGAGAGAAACAAAGTGCATTAATAAGTGATCAGAGACGAGCAAACTTATTTCCTATTTACTACAATATAACCAGAATTCAGACACTGTAGAGTAAGTTATTTATGGATGACATTTGTCCAAAAAAGAACACAAATAATAACAATAATTACCACTGGTATTTGGAAAATCCCTGAAATCTGTAACATCACAATGGTTGAGGAGGACTCAGAGGCTCCAATTACAGCAAGAACAGACGACTGACCAGAGCAGTTATTTCCCAGAATCCTTTCCTGTCCGTTCATCAAACCCATCATTGCACGTGTTGAAGGCAGCGTTGAACCACAGCTGTCAAATATCTTATAGCCAAGTGAGATGTTAGGCAGCAGGGAGCTGCTATTGTTGATCTCCTCAATGGCAAAAATCATTGTTTGGGCAAAACGAAATTCCCTGAAATTGATCCTGAAAAGAGTAAAAAAAAAAAAAAAAAGACTTTAGGTGAATTCTCTTGAGTCAACATATCAGCAAAGCAAACCAAGAAACAATACCTGGAGCATATCAGAGGTTCTGGATTATCTGTGAAGGAGAGCGACGGCTGTGAGATTTGGCTGTGGATGGAAAAAACTCCTCCAATAGTAATATCCCCCTGCTTAGACAACAGAGGAAACTCTGGCCTCCCCCACATCTCACAGAGAGGAGAGTCCTCCTGCTGCGCTCTGAAGGCTCCCATTATAACCGCAAACAGTAGCATCACACAGATGCAGTTACACATCTTAAACAAAGAGACACACACATGCACACACAACCCCTGTTATGACTTCTTCGATCACAGACCAAAACATGCGCCTCTGTTAATGGGCAGAGTTTTATACTTCTGTGGATGATGATGATTGAGGTCTTCTAATCAAATCACAGCGTGGTGATGATGTCAGGCTGCTTTGCTTCATTTGAGATGAAATGATATTTTGATAGAAGCATTATGTCATCGTTATTGTAAACTGTGTGTCAAGAAGTGTGAATAAAGGCAGGAGAGCTGTTTCTTTGCAGCGAATGTGTTGTCTTGTCTTTTGAATGTACATCAGATTTATCTTAAACTTGAACAACATCTTAAATTATTGTATAGTTATAACTATGTAAACACTTATTATGGGGGTTTGGAGCTACTGAACCAGATGCCAAAACCTATTTGACAGTGGACATGAAAGAGTAAAGACAAGGATGAGCTATGCAGATTAAAAAAAAAAAAAAAGTCAAATGTTTAGTGCAAGTGAGACGCGAAGGATAAGTAGGAAAAGCTGGAAATTAGTCAGTATTAACTATTAACTCTATTAACTTTGACAAAACCTTATGACTATATTATTTGTGTGTGCATGTGTGTGTGTGTGTGTGTGTGTGTGTGTGTGTGTGCGTGTGTTGGGAGTGTGTGTTTGTATATATAATTGCATCTCACATATTCAATTCAATTCAATTCAAACAACTTTATTTATCCCCTAGTGGCAATTCAAAAGCTCACTGAGTATTTAATATATAGACACATGATAAATAAAAAATTAAAACATTTTCAACTAATTTGCATCTCACAATTAATATAACCAACATTCAGTGCCGCTGCAGGGACTAGTGGTGTTAAGGTTGTGTACATAGACGTGTCTCAAGTCTGACCTCATGCAGAGGACAGATGTGTCATGCTAAGTGTAGGAAAACACTAACACAAGCATTCTTGTCAAATCTCAAAGCATGACTAGGCTTGTCTGACAGTAATGTAACGACCCTGATGCTGATGAAAATACACCTTAAACCCCTCTGAGTTGAACCAAATAGTACCTTGGCACAAACAATGTACAGAGGATGATTTCTTTCATTTACAAAAAAAATAAAATAAAAATGCCTGTTACTCTTTTACCTCTTTAAACAAACGTCATCTTTGACCCAGCAGCATGTCATGCAGCAAATCATTTGTATTTATTTATTTTATTTTATTTCTTTTTTTCATAGTATGTACTGATCCTTAGTTTATTTCTATCAAATCTTTATTTGATCGAGCAAAAATACGATCTGTAAAATATTTTATGTTGAGCTTTTCCTCTCAATCTGCTTCAGAGGAGTGACACCGTGTCAGACAGATGATGGTTATAATGGGAGTGCTTTAAGTAGCTCTAAGGTGAGGGCCATAATTATGATTAAAATAAAGAAACAAACAACCACATATCGTATGGTATTTTTTTATTCATATAAAATGACACAATGATTAATAAAGTGCATTCCTAGTTCACTTACCAAGCAGAAATAATGTAAAAGACGGTCACAACATTACAGTCACATTATTTAACTGTCGTGCCAGATTACTATCCAAAGCTATGATATCATTAGATTATCCAAATTAATTTAAAAAAAAACAACAACAAAAAAAACCAACTTGAACTCATTGACTTTGAATTTTTGCTGGGGTCACATTAAAAATGAAGCAAAGCAGTGATTTAAAAAAAAAAAAGAAAAGTAAAGATATACTGTGTTTCATATGAAACTTATATCTAGATTCATTTAGCTTGTATTTACCTGTTTGTATTCAGATCACATTTAGGAACAATAATAAATAATTTTTATACAAGTATAGCATAAAGAATCTTAAAAATTGTTAATAACGTACATCACTATTTGATGTCTTTCCCATTATATGTTTCTTCGTATTCTGCTCTGGCCTTAACAAAATTATATAACATTTTGGCAGAAAAATGCAGAAAAGTAGTCCGTAGCTGGAGGCCAGAATAGCAAATATTTCCACAGCCACAGTGAACTTTCCAGGAGAGCTGACATAAGCTGGGATGAATGTGATCCACACTGCACAGAATATCAGCATGCTGAAGGTGATGAACTTAGCTTCGTTAAAATTATCGGGTAACTTTCGTGCCAAAAAAGCGAGCACGAAACATAGGAGAGCTAACACACCGATGTATCCCAGCACAGCCCAGAATCCAACAGGTGATCCCAGGGCACACTCTAGTATAATCTTCTCTTTGTAATGATTCATATTTTTAAAGGGAAAAGGAGGATTGATTGTCAGCCACAGAATGCAAATCACAACCTGGATGAGGGTGAAAGCCAGAACACTGAGTCTCTGCTGTGCAGGCCCGAACCATTTCATCACATTTCTACCTGGAAGTGTCGCCTTAAAGGCCATCAGCACCACTATTGTCTTCCCCAGAATGCAGGAGATACACAGGACGAAGGTGATGCCGAACGCTGTGTGCCTCAGCATGCAGGACCACTCAGAGGGTCGGCCGATGAAGGTCAGAGAGCACAGGAAGCACAGAGTCAAGGAGAAGAGCAGCAGGAAGCTCAGCTCAGAGTTGTTTGCCTTCACCAGTGGAGTTTCCTTATTGATTAGGAACAGAATGGCCACTATTAAAGTAAGCAGCACACCAAGCAACGTGAAAAACACGAGTATTTTACCCATAACTTCAGTGAAGGAGAGAAACTCAACGTTTTTCAGTACACATGCATCTCTGTTTTGATTGGACCAATACTCTTCAGGACACTTTTTGCAGTCAATAGAATCTGTAATTAAAAATATTTACTATTATTATGTCACATATTTACTTAACATTTAATAGTTATTAATATTGTGGCTTAATACTTTATATCCTTAAAATATAAATAAGAGACTGTACCATAGCAGACTTTAACAGGATACACAGACTGGAGCAGGTAAACAGTGTATGCAAATCACCATGATTCCCATCTGGAGTACCTGTGGTGTTGCTGATTTTCCCATCTGCACATGGAATACAGTCGTAGCAACAGACGGGCTTTCCTTTCTGAAGGGCTTTATGAGTTCCTGGATGACAGCTGTCACTGCACATGGATACAGGCAGCTGTGAGTCAGATAGAAAAAAAAGGATGTCATTTATAATTATCAAACATGTCCAGATATGTTTTACTATCAGTTAAGATATTTACGTCTTTGCTTCCTCCAGGCCACATTATAGCTTCAGTATTGAGCACAAACCTCCGTCCAGGAGGCAGCGATGCGTCATAGTAGCCCACTGGTTTAAACTGAACCGACCCATCTGATCCACGCTGCCAGTTCACCACCTCATACCTGGCCACAGCTGCTCCGGTGCTGTCAAACCACACCTTGTCCCCGTTCTTAATGGTAAAATTCACCTGTTTGAGAGACTCCACAACCTGAAAAGCAATATAAAAAAATACTGTATGTTAATATATTGATTTCCAAAACTAAGAAATAACGTTTTGTTTTTACCTGCCAGGGTGTAACCTTCACTGTCTTGTCACAGCCCTGAGTGTCTGAGCACTTTAAGATGCTGTGCAAAGAGTAAGCGACAGCATATATGGCTTTGTAGATGTTAGTGGAGTATCTCAGCTCTGCCACATCGTCATCATTATATCGCAGCTCGATTAGATCCTGGTTTTCTTTGCAACTGCCTCTATTCGTCTCCTTGCACTGAAATTCTGTCTCCCAGAAATCTTTCACTAAAAAATCCTCTAAGCCGCTGATATTGGCCTTTTGCACTGCAAAGCCCAGTGACCCTCCCAGCACACTGAAGCTGGTGGGAGTCACAAGGCTGTCAGCAGTGATCCAGGCCTCCACACCGATGAACTGTCGGCCTGTGATGTTGTTCAGACTCAGCTGCTCCAGCAGGTTGTTCATCTCTACGTGGGCCAGGAAGCCGACGATGACCCGGGCTGTGCTCTTACGGATCACTTCTACCACTTTCAGTAGTTTTTCTGGCTCTGCCCGGTGAAATTTCTCCGTATACTCCACACACACTCCTTCCTCCTGGGCTGCAGCCAGGAAGATGGCCATGCCGTTGTTGCCGTAGTCGCTGTCGCTGTTGACCGCTCCGACCCACGTCCAGCCAAAGTGCTTGACCAGCTGGGCGAGGGCTCGGCTTTGATAGAGGTCGCTGGCGATAGTTCGAAAGAAGGAGGGATACTCTTTTCTGCTGCTCAAACACTCACAGGTGGCTGAGTGGCTTATCTGAGAACACACAATAAAGAGACAGAATAAAGAGAGTCTGCATACAATACACACATTGTTGCCCACTGACATCTCTCTTACCACTGGTATTTTAAAGGGTCCCGTAGTCCTTGACAGCACAATAGTTGAAGAGGATTCAGACTCTCCAATAATAGCATGAACAGCTGACTGACCAGAGCATTTCTTTTCTAAAGTCCACTCATCACCATTCATCAGGGCCATCACTGCACGCATTGAGGATAAGGTCGAGCCACAGTTGTCATAAATACGGTATCCGACAGAAACATTGGGAAGAAGAAATGTACTTTTGTTTATTTCCTCAATGGCAAATATCATGGTCTGGGCAAATCGAAACTCCCTGAGGTTGACGCTGAGACAAGAAGGACAAAGCACAACCTTGCATTCACTGTTACAAAACTCATCAAAAAAAAAGCATTGTTGCACAGAGATCAGAATTACCTGGAACACTTGAGACGTGTTGGTTTCTCTGTAAAGACAATTGGAGGTTGTGTGATTTTGCTGTGGATGGAAAAGGCTCCTCCAATCATGACATCTCCCTCTTTAGACATCAGAGGGAACTCTGGACTCTCCAGAATCTGACAGAGAGGAGCCTCCTCATCCTGCTCTGTTTTAAATGCCAGCAGGAGCCCCACGAAAAGCAGGCCTGTTATCACCGGTGGCATTTT